TATGTGGTCGTCTGGGTCAGTTGGGCCATCGTATGTTGTTAAGGGCGGGGGTTTCTCCATCCTGATGGGCAGTGGGGCCTCCCTGATGGTCCTACTCAGCAGTGAGCGCTGGTCATCCTCGTCGCTCTTGACAGGTGACCATGAGGGGGAGACTGATCCTCAATTGTTTTTGTTCCATTAAGGAGGACTCTTCGGCCAGGATCTTGGTTTGTCGATGCCTCATTCAACTTTGTTCCTCTTCTGAGCAGCGGAGCATCACTCCTTCCGGGGAGGTGATCGTTCGCGCTTCTGAGAGGCCATTAGCTCGACCGCTCCAAGCGAGGGCACCACCCAAACAGCTGGGGAGAAAGGCTTCGAGAGTCATCGTGTTGTGTCCTCTGCGGGAAGGAGAGGGGCTGCTGGAAATCGGGCGACGATGTCTCTGCTGGGGAGAGCGTGATGGTCGCTCCTTCTTGAGCATCCATATCCGCTCGTTCTGTTAGAAGATCATCATATTGGTCTAGTCGATCACCGCGAACAGAGCCACCATGGTAGGGTTGGCGCTGGGTGGCACTGGGATGGGCTGGTAGACAGTCGGGCTATCAAAGCGTCAAGCGGCATTGAAGGCCACGTCTTTTGAGGAGGGAGAGGCGGTGTACCCATCCCTGTAGTCGGCCTTGTCGACGTGAACGATCACGTTAGAATCGTGGTCGTCACCGTTGGTGAACGGGACGAAGGCGGTTTTCAGAGCGTTATCGTTGCATGGGTTGGCCATGATCAAACAGAAGTTGAAAGTTCCTTTAGTTCTTGAGCTTCTATGCTTAGATAGAAGAAAGAATCGGGGAGCAAAGGCTTCCCACATACAGCGCCACTGATCTTACCTGATTAGAAAGGAATCAGCAGCCTGCCACATGTCGTGAGCTCTTGTGATCACCAATATTATTGAGGAGGAGGGGGTGTACCTGCAAGGTACTTCGATGTTTAAGCGAGTAACAGAGTTAGAAAGTGCAAGTACAAAGAGAATATGTGTAGAGAATATAATACCTTACCCTCTAGTGAAAGAGGGTATTTATAACGTGCCACCAGCGTATAGCCAGCAGTTACATTGCATTGGGCTGGATTTCCAAGCCCAACACAAGTAATTTCCAGGTCTTACATGGCGTAGGGAAGACCAGCACGTGGTCTTCACCTTGGTTCAACTGCCCTGTGATCTTCGGTAGGTAGGTTGACCAACTCTTTCGGAAGTGGGTAGTTGCGTGATGACGTGTCTCTGCTTAGGGGGGCACGTGGAGTCCTTAGGGGAGACACGTGAGTTCTCCCCATGCTAGGTAGTGGCCTGTTTATTTATATGAAGGTCTATCTTAAGTAAAAGTTTGCTAAAATACACCTTCATAAAAATAAGTGGGTGTACGTTAGTAAAATATATCCACTTGTTTTTATGAAGGTCTATTTTAGCAAGTTTTAAATAAAAAATGGTTAGATGCACCATAAGGATGCTTAATATCCTTTTTGGTCCCATATCTTAACCTCAGTATTTATTTTGGTCCCTTAACTTTAAAAAGGTCCATATTGGTCCCTTAACTCTTCAAAACGTTCCATATTAGTCCTTTTTGTCTTATTAGCGACAGAAAAATTCAAAGACCAGTCACTAAATTCGTCGCTAATTAGAAAAAAAAAGGACTAATATGAAACGTTTTGAAGAGTTAAGAGACCAATATGAGCCTTTTTAAATTTAAAGGACTCACTTTCCATATGAAAATCTAGTCACAAAAATACTGGAAGAAACAAGGTACAACTTTGAAGAGGAAGAGTTCTAGGAAGAAACAACCATAATAGGAAGCTATGTCATACCGTCATTTAATTACAAACTAAAATATGGAAATATAATTGAAAAAGAATCATCAAACAAAAAGAAAAGAAAATTCAAAAGTCAGCAGATACCCAAAGAAATTGAGAGCTCATATAACTCCTCTCAGATAATCACTATCAAAGACTTTATGAAAATCTTAAGTGGAAAAACATATGTACTCATTACAAAATATATTTCATAGTACACCACTTCATTACTAACCAAACCAAACTATCACATCACCTATTCCACTATGATGATCTTGATGTAGAATAATCTTACTTAGATTTTCTTATTTGCTTTTTAAAACTTCTAACTCGTCATATTCCCTTATTGTACTTTAAATTCCAAAATTTAGTTTCATGTACTTTCAATTTTTGCAAATTCAATTCCTATAATTTGAGATTCTTAGCAATAAAGTGTGATGTTATTTTTCACTTCTTATTAAATGTCTAAATCATTCATGTTTGCATATTTACTTCTTGTAATGCATCTTTATCTGCCTTTTTGATTTTGACAAACGGGGAGAAGTATACTCTCAGGGGGAGTAGGGTATATCCTCTATCTAACTCAGGGGAAGTTACCGCTTTAAATATATCTATATTGTTTCCTTTACCACCTCTTATGAGAGATGTGTTATCATCATAAAAAAAGGGGAGAATGTGGAACCTTGCTTTGTAGATGATATACTTTTAACAAGGACATCAAATTATGATGATGACAAATAATGATAAGTCAAGCACGAACCATTAAACAGATAAAGATGCAAACCTATCTTTATGGTTTGATAAACTTGAATATCTGATGATGGCAAACAAAGATTATAACTAAAGTCTCATCTCAAGCCACTCAAGCACGTGCCAACATAAAGAGTAATATCAAACAAAGTCATGAAGTAATATGGTGATCTCTAAATTTAGTAATGAGTGAATGATTGTAATGAAAAATGACTTAATGGTAAAAGTATATGGCTAAAGCGCACACACACTAAACCATTTTCAAAATGCTTTACCAAAAGAAAATACTTTCTTTTAAAAAATTCTGAAAGTTGTGTCAAATGAATTAGGAGCAGTTGAAATAACTATAGGCGAATTTTTGAGTTTTCTAATCGATAAGAACATTTGTCCAATTGATTAGAAATGCGCAAACTTAAGGCCCAATCTATCTTAAAGGCGCCTTGATTCTGTATAATGGCTAGATATCTTAAACTTCCTTTTTGAGAACTTACAAACCATTATTTCTATCTTCTAATCAATTAGGAATAAATGTTAATCTATTAGATTGTTATAGAATGCTTTTATTGAAATTTCCTTTTTGAGTCAACCTCAGGCCTATAAATATAGGCAATTTTCTCATTTCAAATTATCCATAATCGTGTTTTGACACTCTCACCTCTCTCTCTCTCTCTCTCTCTCTCTCTCTCTCTCTCTCTCTCTCTCTCTCTCTCTCTCTCTCTCTCTCTCTCTCTCTCTCTCTCTCTCTCTCTCTCTCTCTCTCTCTCTAAACATTTCTTAAACTTAAGGCTCAAGCTATCTTAAAGGCATCTTGATTCTATATAATGGTTAGATATCTTAAGCTTCCTTCTTGATATTTTACAAACGATTAATTCTATCTTCTAGTTCTAATCAATTAGAAATAAGTGTTAATCGGTAAGGTTGTTACAAAATGATTTTATTAAAATTTTCTTTTTGAGCCAACCTCAGGCCTATAAAAAGAGGTTTCACTTCTCATTTCAAATTACGCAAAATCATGTTTTAACACTTTCATCTCTCTCCCTCCCTGTGTCTGTGTCTCTCTCAATATTTCTTTAACTTTCTCTCACTATGTCTTTAGCCTGAATGCTTTTTGTGAGAGATCATTTATGTAATTTTGGAATGAGCAGAATTGTAAAATTTACTGAGGGAACCTTTTGTGTATACCTTAATTGAATACTGACAAATTAAGAATTTGTTTGGGTTAAAGTTAAACCCGTAAAAAGATTTTGTTTGAGATTGAATATTTCAGTCCTAATTTAGGTTGGAGATCAACATATATAAAATCTCTTAGGTTTTTGGTCAACCCGATGTTAAAACTAAGATAAGTTAAAGTTTAGGCTGATACTAAAAGCTTCACAAGTTCGAGAATAGTCTGATTTTAAAATCTCTCAGGTTTTTGGTCAGCCGGTGTAAAACTAAGGTATTAAGCTCAAATGTTTTAGAATTTGAAGACTAACCGCTCAAAGGTTCTTGCTTGTGGAAAAAAGATTAACCGCTTCAATCCACCATTTGGGAAGAAAGACTTACCCATTCACTCTCAAGTATATTATGAAGAAAAGACGCAAATGCACACATCCATCGTCTTGTATATTTTGGTTGAAGTTCAACCAATATTTCTTGTATAAGGAAGTTTGTGAGTCTTTCCTGCTAAAAGCTCTCAAGTATTATTGAAATCTCTCAAGATTAATTCTTAAGGAGAATATTAGATCCTTTTGTTTTGATCAAACCTTTAAACTCTTTTAATTTCCGCAATTTATTTTCTGCTTTTTATTTTTTTCGTTGCTAAGTTTTTCAAAATATTTTTTAACTCTGGTTTTATTTTTAAAAAATTTTTAAAACCAAATTTTTCTAAATCACATAATTCACCTAATTTTTCAAAATATTCAATAAAAATGAATTTTTACCCGACGTTTCTAAAAATTTAGTATATATATATATATATTAAAAAATTGTATACTTGCTTATCATAAATCCGGTAGTATGATTGATATATGCGGTATGTTTGAGAGGTTTTCAAATATCTCAAAATCTTACAAAGGTATAGTAAAAGAAATTTTTATATCCGACAAAGTTAATGTGGTAATATAATAAAATGTGGGGTGCCATGTGAATCGAGGGGTGGGAGGATAAATCCTCGTACCAGTAGACGCAGGCCCATAGTGATTATCCGGGCTGGAAATATACAAGCCCATATTAAGAAAAAAACAGATACGGCGCACAGAAGATTACATACGGCTCTCCATACCTGAATCCTTCTCCTACAACACCTCACAACTGAATCTTCTCTGAACTGCACGGAACCAACCAAACTCAAAAACAAAACAAAAAAAATTAAAATAAATTTATATATTTATTTTTCTAAATCATCATCATCTCTCTTCCTACGACAAACCCAAATTGCGTCACCCTCATTTCTCAGTAAGCTTTTCCTTTTTTCCCATTCCCAATTTCAATTCTATTTTAGGGTTTTTACTTTCTTCTCAATTACTGCATTACGTCTCTTACATTCAAGCTATTCAAACTTTTTACTTTCAATTTGTTTATTGAATTTCAAACGGAATTACCCAAGTAACTCAATTGAAGCTTTTCTGTTTTATGTATTTATGCATTCTGAATTTCTGATTTCATCAAATTGCTTAATTGAGGTTTAACAAAGCCTAATTCAAACCATTGATCTCATTTAGAGATAGAGATAGAGTACATTAATTAAGCATCTTTTGGATGTACCCTATTGTTTCGATACTATTTTATTTTGGGGTTAAAACTACTAATCAATTTGCATTTTTTTTTTTTTTTAATAATTCTGAGTGTTTTAACAATTGGCATGCTTGTTAGTGGTTTCATCACCATTCTCAAATTTGGTCCATATATTCCCAAATTCTTGCATTTTTTGTTTGGCTATGTAACATTTTTTCATATTTGATTCATAATAAGATGCTGAAAAATAAATTGTGATTACTTCTTTTGGTAAGAAAAATTGAGTCATGTGTTTAGCTGTTTGTTGCCTCTTCCTTCTTATTTGTTTGAGCGGGGTGAAATCATGAATAATATATGCGAAACCTTATAATTCAAAACAGCCACACCGACCATGTCTTTTCCGACTTAAGGTTGGCTGGGCCAAAGATTTATAGCTATTATAAATAATTAATTCACTAGAAATTTGAAGAATTTTCAGTGATAAGATTCAGCTGTTTTTATTATAATTCTTATCTTCAGAGACGGAGTATTTCATTAGTATATACACTGCTCTGTAGAGTATCATCTGGCAATGAATATCTTATGGCAGATCTTTTGTTGGTGCAGTGGAGTTTGAGATTGATGACTCCGGTAATGGTGATGCAGTAGGAAATGTTACTACTGGAGAGGTTAGTAGTAGCATAGCTGACAAAGACAAACTTGACTGCAGTTCTTTCGATCCAACTGATGAACAGGATCAAGATGATAATACGACTCAAGATTCTTCTGGAGTGGACCAAATCCCGTTAGCAATTACTGCATTATCGGCTGTGAGAACAGTTGATGAACCTTACATGGGTCAGGAGTTTGTATCGGAAGCTGAAGCACATGCATTTTATAATGCATATGCTACACGTGTTGGATTCGTCATACGTGTAAGTAAGCTCTCGAGGTCAAGGCGTGATGGGTCTGTTATCGGACGGGCTCTTGTTTGTAACAAAGAAGGTTTCAGAATGCCTGACAAGCGGGAAAAGATTGTAAGGCAGAGGGCAGAAACAAGAGTTGGTTGCAGGGCAATGATTATGGTGAGGAAATTAAATTCTGGTCTATGGTCTATAACAAAGTTTGTAAAGGAGCATACACATCCTCTGACACCTGGAAGAGGCAGAAGGGACTTCGTTTACGAGCAATATCCGGTTAGTTCATGTTCTTTCATTATTGATAGGTGGTATATAAGTATATATGGTTATATTTAGTATGTTAATCAATACTTTATGCATAAAGGATTAGATTGTTACTCATGAAGAGCAACTAACTGTTTATCAGGCCCATCAATGTAGTTTGAACTTTGAAACCGTTATATATGAGTAACTTGAGCACTTCATGTATCATGTTTTTGTAACCCTTTTTCAGTTTTCCCGCACTTCTTACGTCTTTGCTATTATGCAATTTGCAGAGTGGACATGACAGAGTTCGAGAACTATCTCAGCAGTTGGCTCTAGAGAAAAAGCGATCTGCAACCTATAAAAGGAATCTCGAATTGTTATACGAGTACATCGAGGAGCATAATGAATCCGTTTCAAGGAAGATTCAACACATAGTAGAGAGTGTGAAGGAGATGGAAGCCAACGAACAAGACAGTCTTAGATAGTTTCAATTCTCTGTTATCTAGACTTGAAATTCTTTTTCAATTTATGAATGGTAGTATATAAATTGTGCAATAATATAAAATTACTGATCTAGGTATCTGGTTCAGTCCAGCATTAGGCGTCGTGAATTCTGTTGTTCAGTTTGTTAAGTTCAATGGAATTCAATTATTCATTGGATTGCTTTGATAATTTAGTCATTAGAAGAGACTAGCTCAGTCAATGTACAGGTCCTTTGAGTCCATTCTTGTGAATTTATCCTAACAATATGAGGACGACTCATAACATACAAGCATTGTAATGTATAATGCTTAGATACAATTTTCTTATTCCATTGTTAGTTTTGTAAATTTGTTTATACTTTTAGACAGGTGAGAAACCAAAGTCTACTTTTATTCAGTTATTCCGTTGTTAATTTTGTAGATTTTTGCAAACAGATTTTCACTATAGTAATAAGTTTCAACTGGGATTTTGAGGTGGTGAAGTTGACCCCAAATCTGCAATACATGAAACTAGGTGTGGTGCATTAAATAATGAACTACAAATGTCTAATAATGGTTGCATCTAATCCAATAATCTTTGCTATGATTAATTTGGTAATCTGTCTATTCCAATATTTAATGTATTAAACAATATTTCAAATAAAAAATAAAAAGTCATTTTATTTAAAAATAAGAATATGCATCTTGATCATTAATTTTTTTTTAAATCGAGTATCTTTTGTGTATAATTGTAGAAACTAATCTCTTGAGTTGTGTAAGACTATAATATGTGACAAGCTCTCACTAAAAGATTTAACACTGATGCGTATCTATAATTTAGTTCAAATCCAAAATTTTTAATTAAGCTGAAAGAGATCCCGTCATCTTATCTAAATATTCTCAAGTCTTTTTCATAAAACTTTGTTGTACGACAAAAATTTGAAAACTCCATAAATTTTATAAATTAGACATATTTTCTTGTGCCAAAACTATTTTTTATGTAAAAAAAATGTAATTTCAAATCTTCAATACTTAATAATAAAAATTGTGATGCTTACAATTTTATAAATTTCTCCTTCAAAATTAATTTTATTTAACGTTTTTGCGAACAACAATCACAAGTTGCTCTTATAGCTCAGTGGTAGAGCGCCAGTCTTGTAAACTGGAGGTCCGCAGTTCGATCCTGCGTGAGGGCATTATTTTTATGTTTTGTATATGTTTTTGAACAATAACAGTAATAATAAAACGCTTTACAATGAATAAAATGAGATGATAGTTACATTACAATAACATTAAATCCTAGTTGCATGAAAAGAATGAAAGTTTCCACTAAGATTCTAAAACATAGCTCTCAAAAGATACAACAATACAATTACAAAAACTAAACAATCTCACATATTGCACATTCATAATCAAACTAAAAACTAAAACAAAACAAAAAATTACATGCAACATTAAATCTAAACCATGATGTTTTTTTTCTATCCAAAATCAAAAGTTGTGTTGCAAGAAGAGTCTCTCTTGAGGAGAAGCAGGACCAATCTCTTCTTCAAGGCTTCTCAAAACATCACCACCACCAACAAAGTTTCTTCCTTCAATCTTCACTTCAACTTCGCCTTCCGATTCCGAAGATTTTCTTCTTTGAGAAGAAGTAACACTTGGAAAAGTTATCCATGAAGGTGCTCTAAACTCGAACCTTTGATCTTCGCCTTCGACCACGTCGGTTTCTGAAGCCGACCGGTTCGACGACCTTTGAGATGTTTTCTTATGCATTCTATTACTTCCTAAAACAACTTCTGTTGGTAGAATTGGTTGATCAATACAAGGACTTCCCATTAACATTGCTAATGCTCTTTCCAAACTTGTTGTTACTTTGTCCATTGAAGGCCTATCTTTACCTCTCATTCTCACACATTTGCAAGAAACATTTGCTATCCTTCTCAATGCTTCAATATCAGAAGGTTGTTTCAAACAAGGGTCTAAAATCGAAGCTATGTCGCCCGATTTTATTAACGGTACCGACCATTGAACAATGTTACCTTCTTCATATTGCATATCAATAGCTTTTCTACCACTTAGGATTTCTAATAGTAGAACACCAAAGCTATACACATCTGATTTTGTTGTGAGGTAGTGAAGTCTATAGTATTCGGGGTCGAGATAACCGAGCGTCCCCGCTGGTAACTCGGCCAACGGGGAGCTACTATCCGTTGGACCAAGTAACGATAAACCGAAATCCGAAACTCGAGCATTGTGTTCTTCATCTATTAAGATATTTGAAGATTTGATATCTCTATGGATAACCGGTGGACACGCGTAACCGTGTAAGTACTCGATTCCTCGCGCGGCTTGGACCGCGATTGTTACCCGTCTGATCCAATCCATTTGCTCTTTCAACTCCTTGTTTTTGCCATGGAGGTGTTGATGCAATGATCCATGAGCCATGTACTCATAAACAAGTAATCTTTCACCGCCTTCTTCGCAATAGCCTAATAGATTGAGCAAATGAGCATGATTCAACCTCGATAGCAAGTCGAGTTCTGTGTGAAACTCTTTCGAATTTTTCTGCATGTTTGGTGACATAATAGCCCTTTTAACAGCAACAACTGTTCCATCTTTGAGAACACCTTTGAACACACATGAAAAACTTCCTTTACCTACTATGGATTCTTCTTTGAATCCACTAGTTGCATTTTCAAGTTCCTCATATGTGAACTTCTGAGCTCTCCTTATCTTAAATTCCTCCCCGTCCGGTCGAATCTTTCCGTTATCTTTTTGTGCCGAAGAACCAACATTGAGTCTCGTCGCCGAGTTTAACGCTGTTGTCGAACACTCGCAATCTCTAAGCTTGTAACGAACATACATAACCGCGGTTATCGACACAACACTAACTATGAAAACAACAAACACTATCTCAGAAACAACTACTATCAACTGCATAGACCAAAATCTTTCACTTTTCTTCCCATTATCACCATTGGGATAAGAAGAAGAGGAGGAACAATTCGAGAAACATTCCGGCGAAGAGCAAACCGAACAATTATATTCACACAATATATCAGATTTCGAATCGCAACGACTTTTCTCATACATTTCATCAGGACAAACACCACTGCATGGAACACAAAGGTGCGAATTCGAATCCTTACAATTTAGACCCTTTTGTTGATCCTTTTCAATTTCATAGTAACTTGCAGGACAAGGTTCAGAGAAACACTTTCTCGTTCTTGGCGAAACAGCCAAAGGTAGAGAAGTTGGAAATCCAACACCCCAACAAATAGGTTCGAGCGATTTCGCAGCGAGAATTCCGCATGTAAAATAATTACCAGCTGCAATTTCAAACACTTTACTCTCTTTAGGAACTGTTGTGCTTGTTTTCAAACTCAAACCCCAACAAATCACACCATGATCATAGCTCTTAATTCCACAAGCATGAAACTTTCCTCCAACAACAGAAAGCATAGGATCATTTGGTGCCAACTCAACACTACCACCTTGTCCTTGATTCGGAATCAACGAAATCTCTTCCTCCATATCCAAACTTCTTCCCCAACAAACAGTTCTTGAATTCACACCTTCCAAGATTCCACACACATGATACCCTCCACAAGAAACTTTCTGAAATCTCATACCGCGAGGAATCAACCTAATAACTTGACTACTAACCTCATCGCCCCAACAAAAAACCGTCCTATTCTGCGAAAAAAGTCCACAATTGAACTCAGAACCCGCCGAAATCGATTGAATCTGTCCATCAAACACGTAGTTATTCGTCATGTTGTACCCCCAACAATCAACAAAAGAAATGTTCCTGAATCTTCCTGTTAAAGGCTTCCTCAATCCACAAACATGATAATCCCCGGCGCTGATTTCTAAATACTGAGCTCCTTTAACCATAGGTTGTGGCACACCCATTTCAATATGGCTGCTACTCCCCCAACAATACGGTTGATTCGAACTCATCAAAAGTCCGCAAACAAAACCATCACCAGAAGTTAAACCGATGAACGGAAAATGAGACGGTGTTCCATAAACTATAGCCGAATTGAATCCATAGCATGTCACAGTATGAGATCCATCAGATTTCAAGCCACAGAAAGCTGAACCCTTATCTCCATAAGACACAGCAATTGATGACATGGAACCAAGGCTTGTAACATGTAACCATAGCCAGGAAAAAACAACAACCTCAAATAGTATAGTATTCAAAAGGTAGGTTGGGAATTGTTTTTTTGAGAACCCCATTAGACCTAGAGACTCAAAAACTATATTTTATACCAAAAAGGTTGAATCTTTAACAAAAGTGTTAGTTGAAATTGAGACAACATAAACCCTTGTTGGCTTGATGAATAAAATATACCTATTGATTACTCAGCAAGAAACATGACTTCATCAACAAAGGTGTAATTTTTTCCCACAATTTCTCTAGGAAAAGCATCAATGCAGAAGAAAAGGACTTAAAAAATGGTGGGTGAGAATCAGAATCTTCAAAATGGCTTTTTTTATGGAATTACTTGCAAGCAAAAAGCAAGGAATTTTAATGGATCTTGTATACATTTAGCATGGTAAAAAGAGAAAGTTCCATACTTTTTGATGATTTATCCAGAAAGATAAACTTACCAAGAAGAAAAAAGCAAACTTCAAGTTCCAATAAGTGCTTTTTTTTAATCAAGTGAAGAAGCTATTGTTCTTGAGCACACATATTGCAAAAGTTGACAGAAAGAAACCATTCTTGCACCATTTTTTGTAACTAGAGATTTGAAACAAAGTAAGAGAAGATTGTTGAAGGGGGTTTAGAGGGTGGTGAAGATGTGTTACCGGCAACCAAAGACAAAGAGAGAGGGTGCAATAAATGAGATAAAAGTGCTAGTTATGAAAATGGGGTAAGTGTAGGTGGAAGCAATAAATGTGAAAGTTAATGCTTGTTGATGTTTTCATGCTTGGATTACTGTCACTAGTATGCTACTATACACAATTTTACTTTCATCAAAAAAGTAAAGAGAGGTGTGTGAATTATGTGTATGGAACAATTATATAATCTCGAATCATGAAAATGTTTGAGTCCCTATTCCTACTCTATTTCAATCCTTTATTTTTCTGGGTTTGGTGTGGAGTTAATGGATTTTGTTTTTCTCATCAATCATCATAATACCTTTCATAGTTTTGTTTCAACTTTATAGATTGTTTTTTACTCACTTCACTAGATATCATCTAGAACTAGTAATGAGTTTAGTCAAAGTTGAGTCAAATTTTATAATTTTTCTTCCATTTTTATTTTATTTATTTTAATTAAATTAAATTTTATTTTTTAAGAACATCTTTACTGCAAGTTCTATAGTATTAAATTCTTTAATAGTAACGGTAGCTATAAATAATTTGCATTTGAATAAGAATAACATGATAGGAAGTGAACAAACAATTAGTTTTCGACAACTATATAACCAACGCACACTATCGAATTTTAATGGCTCTGATTATTATTTTATAATATTAAAATATAAAATATGGGGTCAAATTTTGATTTTTTACAAACAATCATCGTAAAAGTAAAAACAACTCAAATCAACTATAAATTTTTTAAATCCTACAAATCACTTTGGGTCCACAAAAAAATATCTTAATTTATCAATTTATTTTACTCCCACTAAAGATGCTCTAAATAATTTTTATTTAAAAGTTAAATGCAAACACAAAAAAGTTAAAATTTGTATTTATAAAAAATCATGAATTTGTAGTATAATGTTTTCATTATCCTTTTTCTGACTATTATATTTTTTGATTGTTTCCGTCAGCCTACTCTATTCTCTTATTATATTTAGAATATTAAATAAAAATTATTTGATTAATAATAATTGTTGTGAATCAGATGTCTTAAAACAAAATATAAGTTGTTTCTTTATGATCAAGAAACACATAAGGATTAAGGTTAATAAAGATAACAAGGTAAAACAACAAGGAATAACAATAATTGTTTATAAACGGCTATTCTTTCCTTTCTCTTAATAACAAAATTACACGTATACAAGAATAATAAAATAACCTCTCTCTTGAAATTAGAATTTTATCTTTCTATTTTTTCTTATGCCAAGATTGAGAAACTAACATCCTATTTATAAGAAAAATAACACACTAACCTAATAGGCTTTTTAACAATTACCCATTACAAGCTAACTTAAGCAATTGGTTTAAAAGTAAGACCCAATTCAACATGCTAACAACCCTAGCAATATTGACTAATGCATGTTAGAACAAACTTCGAACAACACGCATTACTCCGACAGCAGCATGCGAACATACTTCGACCTCATACTTAATTTCTGTCGAACTAGAAGCTACCCCTCAGCCATACTAGAGTTCGATCCAACATCTCAAAAATCTCCACCTTGGAACAAACTCTATAACATCAAGGAACTAGCTTTTTTCATGCAGCTTTATCAACTGCATACAGTGGAAAAACTTGCAACTAGGCAACGTCTTGGTGATCATATCAACAACATTATGATCTGTCGGAACCTTCAGCACTTGGACTTCTCCACGCTCGATTACCCTTCTGACGAAATGCAGCCTCACATAAATGTGCTTGGTTCGCTCATGATAGGCTGAATTCTTCGACAAGTGTATTACACTTTGACTATCACATTTAACAGTGGTAACTCGACCTTGAAGTTTTATCTCCTTTGTAAAACCTTCAAGCCATAATGTTTCCTTCACAACATCAGTTAGGGTAATATATTCTGCTTTAGTGGTTGATAAGGCAACAACCTTCTGAAGTGTAGCTTTCCAACTGATTGTTGTCCCAACCATAGTGAACACATATCCAGAAATAGATTTTCTAGAATCCATACAAGCTGCATAATCAGAGTCGACATATCCTTTGATTGTTGCTTTACTATCTTCACCCAAGGCTCCACCATAAATTAGGACTCTATTCAGAGACCCATTTATGTACCTTAGAATCCATTTCAATGCTTGATAGTGAGCCTTTCCAGGATTCGTCATGTACCTGCTTATAAGACTTACTACATATGCTATGTCAGGCCTAGTACATACCATATCATACATCAAAGAATCCATTATATTAGTATATGGAATGCTATTCATATAAGTTCTTTCAACATCATTGTTAGGACACTGATCTATACTCAATTTGAATTGAGGGTTTGTCGAAGTCACAACAGGCTTTGAATTCGACATACCAAACTTTTCGAGGACCTTCCGTAGGTATGCCTCTTGAGATAAGCATAATTTCAACTACTTTCTATCTTTTCGAATGTCAATCCCAAGAATCCTGGACGCAGCTTTCAGATCCTTCATGTCGAACTCCTTATTGAGTTCAACCTTCACCCTCATTACGTCTTCGTCATTGTTGCTTGCTATTAGAATATCATCCACATAGAGCAACAAAATAAAAAATGAATTACCCGATCAAAATTTGAAGTAAACATAGTGGTCGAACTGACTTCTGATGAAACTTATGCGTGCCATGAACTTGTTGAATCTCCTATTCCACTGTCGAGGAGATTGTTTCAGTCCATATAAGGATCTATTTAGATTGCACACACAATCTTCCTTCCTTTTTTCGACATACCCTTCAGGTTGCCTCATCAGGATTGTTTAACCTAAATCACCATACAAAAACGCAGTCTTCACATCCATCTGTTCCAGTTCAAAGTCGAACTGGGCTACTGTGGCAAGCAACATTCGAATGGATATGTACTTCACAACAGGAGAGAACACATCATTGAAGTCGACACCTTCTTTCTGAGTGAACCCTCTAGCAACCAATCTTACCTTATATCTCTTCGAAGCCACTCATTCAATCTCTTCCTTAACTTTGAAAATCCATTTACAGCTTACTAACCTGGCTCCAACAGGTTTCTTGATCAGTTCCCATGTGTTATTATCATAAAGAGATTTCATCTCATCATCCATGGACTTCAGCTATTCAGTCTTCTTTCGACTCCTCATAACTTCCTTATAGTCTCTAGGTTCTTCATATAGAACCTCACTTGCAGAGATTAAGGCATAAGCTATAAGATCTGCATACCCAAGTCTCTAAGGTGGCTTGATGACTCTCTTAGACGTGTCTCTTGCTAGCACGTAGTCATTATCAATCTCCTCATCTTTGACAACATCTTCTACGTCTTCTTCGACTTCATCTAGGGTACGCAATTCAACATCAACATGCTCCACCTCAATAGGAATCTCTCCCTGTTCCAGCTCTTCGTCAGCATCATCGATTTTCTTGAAAGCCATCTTTGCTTCATTGAAAACTACATCTCGACTGGTGACACACCTCCTGTGACCTGGCTTTAGGCACCATAACCTATAAGCTTGGACTCCTTTAGGGTATCCCATGAACATGCATTTCAGAGCTCTATGTTCGATCTTATCTTGCCTAATATGAGCATAGGCCACACAGTCAAATACTCTCAGTTTGTCGAGACTAGGTGGATATCCCGACTAAACTTCTTCAGGTGTCTTCATTCCCAAGGCAGTCGATGGACATCTATTTATCAGGTAAGTTGCTGTCAAAACAACTTTCGCCCAAAACACCTTCTTCAATCCAACACTAACCAACATGCATCGAACCCTTTCAAGGATTGTTTGATTGAATCTATCAGCTAATCCATTTTGTTGAGGAGTACCTTCTATAGTCTTATACCTTGTAATCCCAGACTCAACACAGTAATTGTCGAATGCTTTGTTGCAGAATTCAAGGCCATTATCGGTTCTCAACCTCTTAACCTTTTTGCCAGTTTGAGTTTCGACCAGAATCTTCCAACTTTTAAAATTCTCAAAAGTTTTATCCTTCGTCTTCTGAATGAATATCCATAGCTTGCTGGAATAGTCATCTACGATGGATAGAAAATACCTTGCACCTGAGTGTGAAGGATTCCTTGCAGGCCCCCAAAGATCAGCATGAATGTAATCCAATGATCCATGTGTTCTTTGCTTGCCTTTGTTAAACTTCACCCCACAGGATTTACCAAATACACAAGATTCATAAAACTCCAAATTTTCGACTTTGTCACCTCCTAACAGGTTCTGCTTCCCCAATTCGACCATGCCTCTTTCCCTGACATGGCCCAATCTTATGTGTCATGATTCTGTCTTCGGAACAGGTTTCGTGGATGCAACATTTGTTGAACCACTTACAACCTCAGCCTCAAGGGTATACAAGTCTTGTTTCTTCACGCCTCTCAAGACTTCCTTCGACCCCTTCATGACTCTTAGGATGCTTT